TTTTTTTTTTTAATTCTGTCTTTATTTTATTCTTTCTTTTCATCCCATGTAGGTACAACATTGTTGTATTTGGTGGAGTGGATGGCTACTCAAGGAAGGTAATTGTTCTTGATTTGATTGTTAAATTTAAAATTCATTACTGTTTATAGATTTTATTTTATTTTAAGGGCCCTCAAAATCAACCTCAATTGTGTTCCAAAGAGGAAAGGAAGTCATATAGATTTGAAACAGAATGCTGAGTAACTTTGGTACTTTTCTTTTATATAATTTCAGATTATGTACCTGGACGCTGCTACTAATAATAAAGCTTCAACAGCACTTTCATTTTTCCTGAAATCTGTACACCTCCATGGCTTGCCATCAAGGTATTTTGCTCAGTTTAGAAACATAATTATAAAATATTGAGGGATTCTAAAGTCACAGATTTACATAGTATTATGGTCATAAAATCTGCATTAATTACTTTTTTATATACTGCACCTGAATACTATAATTACTATAATTATTGTGTTGTAGGGTTAGGGGAGATCAGGGAGTGGAAAATGTTGACATTGCTTTTACCACACTTACCACACGTGGAACGGGAAGAGCAAGCTTTATTTCCGGAAAGAGTGTCAGCGGTATAAGCGGTATATATATTTTGCTCCCTTTAATCAGTGGCCTTGACAGATTCAGATTTGTATTATTATTATGAAGAAAGAGTGTTCACAATCAGCGGTATATATATTTTGCTCCCTTTAATCAGTGGCCTTGACAGATTCAGATTTGTATTATCATTATTATTATTATGAATTTCAAACAGTCCTCGTCCTTCTTTAAAAACTAATGTCAATAAATGAATTTAATTTTAGTATCGAGCGCCTTTGGCGAGACGTCTGGGTGGCTGTCACAAGCATGATGTTCTGTGTTCTGCACACTCTTGAGGAGGACGGGCTGCTGGACATCTCGGACATCCTCCACCTGTTCATTACATCTTACATCTTTCTTCCTCGCATTAGGGTAGACCTTCATTCCTTCATTGGAGGATGGAACAATCACCCTCTGCGAACAGAAGGACATCTCTCTCCTGAACAACTATGGCAATTGGGAGATGTGCAAGATCTGGAAATGGAGGAAAGACTTCAGGTCCCACATTTTCTCATTTTTATATGATTTTAAAGTCATTAAATGGTTTACGTGTGTCTTGTCACTAGAAACAAATTCAACAGTTAAAGGGATAGTTCAGAGGTAGGCAAGTTTGGTCCTAGAGAGCCACTGTCCTGCAGAGTTTAGCTCCAACCCTAATCAAACACACCTGAACAAGCTAATCAAGCTATTCAGGATTACTAAGGCTATAGGCTTTTTTTTTTTTCTTTCTTTTCAGGGTTGGAGATAAATAAACTCTGCAGGACAGCGTCTCTCTAGGACCGAACTTACCTAC